TATATCATTTATTGTACTTTAACATAAAAGCTTTTTGAAAAGCATTTTCCTATGTATCAAGTTGCTCTTACAAAATAATCTAACCTAAAGGAAAAATTCTAAAATGCCAATAAAGTTTTATATACAAAAATGTTCAATAAAATGTTATTTATCATCATTGAAACTGGAAAAATAACATTATTGGGTAATCTGTGGTCAATCAACATTTTTTAAATGAATAGGTTTTATAGCATAGGAAATTCCTCCTTGTGTATTATTTATAGTGTTTTTGTCTCCCTAAAAAGCCAACAACTATTGTGTTGTCATCTTTTAATCCTCCATTAAATGCCACACTCATATGGGCACAGGTGATAATGTATTACATAGCTAAGTTAAAACTAAAGTATCCTTTCTATGTGTCTTCTTCAAACGACAATGCCTTATCATAGTGGTGGCAAGTACATCAGAGCTCACATTCACTTTTTACTCTCATATCCACAAACAGCATCACTAATTCAGACACTTATTTCTGCCAAACCCAAATAAAGCCTCTGACTCCATTGCAACCCAGAGCTCAGTGATTCACCAATCAATAAGAGCTCCATGTGGTGATAAAATTAATATGCCATTCTGAGTAGCTATAAATAGTATGAATGGTATATCGCTTTGAAAAACAGTCTGGGCAAGATCTTAAGGTAATGTCCCTTTTATGAGTCTCCAAGTCAATTACATTCAGAATTTTTGGTCCACAAGACAAAGTTTTGAGACATGATGACTATAATTAAATTCTGGCTCTACTACTGAGTGACTTCTGTTCTTATGTAAATCACTGAACCTTTCTGGACTCTACTTGCTTGGTAAAATAATAATTATAATAATAATAGTCATTCTGTTGTGTTTTGTGAGGGTCAAATAAAAATAAGCTTTGGAAACTTAGAGCATTTTGCAAATGTGCAATCATTATTCTTATTAATTCAGCAGTCAACAAAGGAGTGACTAATTAGTATGTTTCCAGAATAGGGCCCAAGGGCACAGAGTTGCTAGAATATATACTCTGTCATTAAAGGGAGTTATTGTAGATATTATTTTTTAATGTTGATTAATGATGTTATCTATATTACCTAATGGCTAGGATAGTGGTTTAAATAGGTAATGGTCAATTTCATTTAATAAAATAGGCTAAGTCCCAAAGACCACATATGGTGTGATTCCATATATACGAAGTGTCTAGAATAGACAAAACTACAGAGACAGAAAGTAGATTAGTGATTGTCGGGGTGAATGGAGGAAGGGGGAATGGGGAGTGATGGCTAAAGGGTATGGCATTTCTTTTTGGGGTGATGGAAATGTTCTAAAATTGATTGTAGTAATGGTTGCACAACTCTGTAAATATACTAAACACCACGTAATTGTATACTTTAAATGGGCAGATTATATGGTATGTGAACTGTATTTCAATAAAAAATAAGATAAATTTAAAAATCAAAACAATCCACTCATCTGACATTATATAAAAACAAAAACAAGCACACAAATATACGAGCAAGCAAAAGCAGATTTCACTTAATTGAAATAATTTCATATTCTTCTTATGCCTGTCTTTGTCAGCTTATCTTTATGAGAAGTAATAAGAAGGAGTAGATTAAAATAAAATGTGCTCTCTGCATTCCCGTCACCCTTCCACATGTATTTACTTATGAAGTCTCTGCTATGTCCAAGACTGAACAAACAGTATCCATCAATTCCACCCAAACCATCTGATTCATTTCTGGATAATGCCCACTTCCAAAAGTTCTCTTTCTCTTCTAAAATCTTGAGCACTCATTTGCTCCATGAGAAATTATTTACTCTGTGAGAATAGGTTAGTCTGATTTATTTCCCTTTCTCTTTTTATCTCAACACCTTATTAAAAAAAAAGTCTATTCCATGATTGCTCCAGTTTGCAATAGCTTCTGAGTTTCTGATCCAATTCTTACTGGCCAATCCATAGTGCTAAAACAGAGAACCCTATCAATTCCCAGATTCCAAGAGTGACAATTGTAGTTACTATGTCTTTGAGTGTCTTTTTTTTTCAAAGTTTTTATTTAAATTCCAGTTAGTTAACATACAGCGTAATATTAGTTTCAGATATCCAGTGTTGTGATTCAACACTTCATACAACAAATGCTCATCACAAGTGCCCTCCTGGGGTGCCTGGATGGCTCAATTGTTAGGCATCTGCCTTCGGCTTGGGTCATGATCCCAGGGCCCTGGGATCGAGCCCTGCATCGGTCTCCCTGCTCCACAGGAAGCCTGCTTCTCCCTCTCCCACTCCCCCCTCCTTGTGTTCCCTCACACAGTGAGAGAGGGAACACAAGCAGGGGGAATGAGAGAGGGAGAAACAGGCTTCCCATTGAGCAGGGAGCCCAATGCAGGGCTCGATCCCAGGACCCTGGGGTCGTGACCTGAGCTGAAGGCAGATGCTTAATGACTGAGCCACCCAGGTGCCCCAATAAATAAATAATTAAAAAAAAAGACCAAGTGCCCTCCTTAATCCCCATCACCTATTTAACCCATCCCACCATCTACCTCCCCTCTGGTAACCATCAGTTTGTTGTCTATTGTTAAGAGTCTGTTTCTTGGTTTTCCTCTTTTTTTCTCCCTATGTTCATTTATTTTATTATATCCCACATATGAGTGAAATCATGGTATTTGTCTTTCTCTAACTGACTTATTTCACTTAGTATAATATTCTTTAGCTCCATCTATGTCATTGTGTGAATGGCAAGATTTCATTCTTCTTTATGACTGAATAATATTCCACTGTGTATGTGTATTCTTCTATGTATCTATGTATCTATCTACCTACATACCTACCTATATACCTACCACATCTTCTTTATTCACTCATCAATTGATGGACATTGGGCTATTTCCATAGTTTGGCTATTGTTGATAATGCTGCTATAGACATCAGGGTGTATGTATCCCTTCATATTAGTATTTTTGTATTCTTTGGGTAAATACCTACTAGCTCAGTTGATGAGTTTCTTGTTTGATTTTCTTCATAACCACTCTGTACTCTGTAAATAATGCCGCCTTTGGGTATGGCCCAGGTTATCACACTGCCCCAGGGTTTACGGTGTCTCTTTTCATTCTATGAAAACACTGGGTTCAGAATCTGCCTTCCATGACTATGTCTGATATGTTAGCAAACCTGAAGAATAAAGTCTCTACCTTAAATGCTACTGCCTGTCTCTAGGATGTTTGCTTTCCTCTTTTACCCCCTATCAATTTTCCTTTATTAATAGAAGAGTATAGGGATTCTCTACTCCATGGTTGAGGAATCAACTAGTAGATGGTGTGATTGGGAGGAGGGTCACCATCTTTAATTCCCAATGAGATGCTTTATCTGTACTCTATAATGTCCTTAGGTTACTGCTTCTCTCACTCCATTTTCCATAGCAATCTGCCTTGAGCTATGTTGGTTCTAGCCATGTTTCTCCCATCCTAATTGAGGCATATTTCATGTAAAGTACTGACCATTTTGACATTCCATTGACAAACTCATACCCCAAAGCATGTGTTCTGAGATTTGACATGATGAAGAGGAGTAAAGGTATATCATCATTGAATTATAGACTGAAACATAAAAGATACAATTAATAAGACCAGAAGAAAATATAGAAAAATTTCTTTACAATTTTGGAGTGTGTAGAGGAAAAAACAAAATTACTATAAAATTCTTTAAAGTGATATATTGAACTTAATAAAGCAAATAAAATATTTGTGCTCATTACTTATTAAAATAATTATTTACATATATACTCAAATAATTATGTCCAGAATATTTTAGTAATTCTTACATGTCAAAAGTACAAAGAAAATTAATCCAATTAAGAAATGGCAAACATTTGGATAGACACCTAACAGAAAAATATATATGAAAGAAAAATGAGCTCATAAAAAGATGCTCAACATGATAAATCTTCAGGGAAATGAAAATTAAAACCACAGTGAGATTCCATTTCATACTCATGAAAATAGCTAAAATTAAAAAGACTGGAAACAAAAATTGGTAAGAGCAACTGGAAATCTCATATATTGATAGGACTGTCAAAAATGAATAGTCACTTTGGAAATTTGTTTGCCTGTTTCTTATAAAGTTAAACATAAGCATACTTCACTCACCCAAATTGTACCATTAGGTATTTACCAAAGATAAATGAAAATATATGTCTGCAAAACAACTGTATAAAAAAATTCATAGGGGCGCCTGGGTGGCTCAGTCGTTAGGCATCTGCCTTTGACTCAGGTCATGATCCCAGGGCTCTTGGATTGAGCCTCACATTGGTCTCCCTGCTCCACGGAGAGCCTGCTTCTCCCTCTCCCACTACCCCTGCTTGTGTTCCCTCTCTCACTGTGTCTCTCTCTGTCAAATAAATAAAATCTTCAAAAAAATTATAGCTGCTTTATATATATTAACAAAAAAATAAACTAATGAGTCATCCAAATGTCCATAGGAGAATAGATAAATAAATTGTGGTATATTCACTTGTATATGATCCCATTTATAAGAAGTTCATAAAGAAGCAGATAATCAATGATACAAATCAGAATGGTGGCTGCCTTTGGGGAGGTTGGAGATTGACTGAAAGAAGGACGTGAGGAAACTTTCTAAAGTGATGAAATGTTCTGTAACCTGGCTGGGTTGCTGGCTGATACAAGCATATACATTTTTCAAAAGTCAGTGGATATTACCCTTATGATCTATGCATTTTACTGTACTTCACAGACCGTAGACACTTTCATCACTGTAGGCGATGTATAGAAAGAAGTCCTCTTCATGGTGTTCCTGGTAGAGCTGACCCATTGTGGCACGGTGGGTGGAATGACATTGTTGACAAAGGAAAACAAGGCATCCTCAGCTCGGAGATGAATTCGCTTTCGGATCAAGAAGTAGAACTGACCAACTGTGAGATCAGAAGGCACCAGATATTTCTTTTTGTCCAGGTCTCCTATCCGAGCTTTGGGAGCCTTTTCTACTATCACCGGAACCCAGTCCGGGTATTTCTTTCGGATCTTCTCGCCCTCAGAGCGGCGTTTCTCCAACGGATGCGCCTCTTTATACACGAACTTCATCCTCCCGGGAACCGGGTGGGACCGGGCTGGGCTAAGGGAACCCGGGGGGGCGGATGGGGGGCGGCGGCGACGGTGGCGACGCGCAGGCGGACTCAGTCTTTTTTTTTTTTTTTTTAACTAACACCTTGTTCTTTCTTTCTTTTTTTTTTTTTTTTAAAGATTTTATTTATTTATTTATTTGAGAGAGAGAGAATGAGAGATAGAGAGCACAAGAGGGAAGAGGGTCAGAGAGAGAAGCAGACTCCCTGCTGAGCAGGGAGCCTGATGTGGGACTCCATCCCGGGACACCAGGATCATGACCTGAGCCGAAGGCAGTCGCTTAGAATATACTTCAATTTAAATAAAATCATGTTACCATGTGGACTGTAGAGAAAGCACTGAGCAAAGAATCTTGACATAATTTATCAACTTGACTCTATAACTTAACTACCATTTTGATCTTAGGAAGATCATTAAATCTTTCTGCATTTCATGTTTTTCATTTTTTAAATTTTAAACCATTGTTTTTTAAGGATCCTTATATTTCTATTCTTCATGAGTGAAGAAACAATATTTACCTTCTTCACTACTGTATCATGAAAGGCTTATACAATGTTTGACATATAGTATTTGTGCAATTTTTTTAGTGAATTGAATTTGATGAAAATTTAATATCTGTTTAATTAGACTGTTAGATTTTGAGATTCAATCTTCAATCTTCTCCTTTACATCTCTTATAGTGACTATTATAATACTTTTCAGATAATAAGCGTGAAATACTTGTTTAATGTTGTTGTCTCTAGTTCATAATGTTTTTGTTCTTGCAAATCTGTTTGAAAAATTTGGGGTTGACATAATTTATATCATCTCTCATAAGCAACTAAATTTGTAAGAGAGAGTGTGTGTGTGTGTGTGTGTGTGTGTGTGTGTGTATTTCTGACTCTGAGAGTAATGGACTTTCTCACATAATCACTCCTACTAATGGAAGTACAATATTGGCATTTTATAGTCCTTTATATGAGGTGATATATACTGCAATTGAGATTATTGAGATTTGCAGTGCTTTTGATCTATTCAGACAATGACAGTCCAATAAATGGTGTGACATTTAGAAACAAACAATGATTGTCAATAGATCTTGTCACTGAACACACTAATTAGGAAGAGGACCTCAAATCATGTTTATAGCTAGAAGAAGGTATTTTAGCAATCTTTGGGTGAAACTTTTCATTCTACAGGCTCAGAAGAGAGGTAATTCGATTTCCCCATTATTAGAGAGTGAATTATGAATAGAGATTGTAAGTTTCATGGTAACCACAAAAGAAAAACCTGTAGTAGATATACAAAAGACTAAGATAAAGGAATTAAAGTATACCACAACAAAAGTCATCAAATCACAAGGGAAGACAGCAAGAGAAGAAGGAGGAAATAAGAAACTACAAAACAGAAAACAATGAACACAAAGGTAGTAATAAGTCCACACCTATCGAAAATTATACATAAACGGATTAATGTTTCCATCCAAAAGACACAGACTGGCTGAATGGAAAAAAACAGATCCAAAACTATGTGGCTTAGAAGAGACTCACTGCAGCTTTAAGGATACATGTAAGCAGCAAGCGAAGGGAAGGAAAAAAGAATATTCCAAGAAAATGGTAACCAAAAAAGAGTAGGGCTAGCTATGCTTATATATAAAAAAATACACATTAAGATAAAAATGGTCACAAGTGACAAGGAATGTAATTATCATCAAGGAAATATAGCAATTTTAAATAATTATGCACCCAGTACCAGAATACCTAAATATATGAAGCAAATACTCCTAGAACTAAAATGAGAAATAAGTAGCAATACAGTACTAGTAGGGGACTTCAGTATGACCCTCTCAAGAATGGATAAATCATTTAGATAAAAAGTCAATAAGAAACTGGATTTGAACAACACTATGGACAAAATGAACTTAACAGACACATATACAGAACATTACCTAGAAGAGCTATCTGTACCCTCTTGTTCACTGCAGCATTATTTACATTAGCCAAGGCATAGACACAGCCAAAGTGTCCTTCAACAGATGAATGAATAAAGAAAATGTCATACATACACAGCCCCCCCCCACACTGTGGAATATTATTCAACCTTAAAAAAGAAGGGAATCCTGCCACTTGTGACAATATAAATTAATCTGGAGGCCACTAAGCTAAGTGAACTAAATCAGACAGAGAAAACAAATAACTGTATGATATCACTTATGTGTAGAATCTGAAAAAGTTCAACTCAAAAAAACTGAGAGTAGATTGGTAATTGCCAGGGGCCAGGAGTTGAGGGAAATTGGGAGATTTTGGTCAAAGGATATAAACTTCAAATATAAAATAAATAAGTTCTAGGGAATCTAATGGACAGCATGGTGAGTATAATTAATAATACTGTATTGTATACTTGAAAGTGGTTAAGAATAGTTAACTATACTGGCATTAAACTAAAAAAAATTAATGGGATTATTGAGTTGGAGCTATTTTCTACCCAGTTACTTGGAAAGCAGTGGAATAACATCAGTACAAAAGTTTTGAGCCATGAATTGTTTTAATTTAAATCCAATCAGGGCCACCGTTCCTTTTGAATAATTCACTCAGAAATAATAATTATAAAATATAATATAATAATATTACTATTATAATTCACTCAGTTCTCCCAACCCTCTACCATTATATGCAGGGAGCATATATGTTATCTCTGTACTTCCCTGATACTTTTACTGTGTACTTTAAGTTGCTCTAAAAATAGTTTATTAAAAAATAAGTTGTATTTTCTCTACCAACTCATCTTATGAATTATTAAACCTGTAGATAACATCAAAACCAAAATACCTTTCATTTTACAAAGAACCTTTACACATTTTTTTATTCCTGAAACTTTTCTTGATCACGTCTATGAGAAATTTTGGTTCTGCAGAAGATAGCAAATGCAAATTTAGAGTTGAAAATAAGAGATGAACAACTAGAGACAGATTAGAAAATGCTTCGTGAAGAAAAGGCCTTTGAAGAATGGGTAGAATTTGCACATCTAGAAATAGAGGAAATATGAGCAAAAATCACAAGAAGAGTAGGACTTGAGACAAACACAGTGGGTAAAAATAATCAGTTTTGACAATACAATACCAGGATATGTTGCCTATTTGTGGGAAAAATTGGAGATTAATCTAAAATTGCATCAGTACTGTAGAGGACAGTGAATACAACATTTTGAGGAGAGGTGTGACCTGTAGAACTTCCTTAAGAAATTTAATGTAGCAATGGAACAAGGGAAACCTGGACTGGAGAGAAATTAAAGAACAATGCAGATTTTTTTTCCTTTTTTTTTTTATTATGTTATGTTAACCACCATAGATTACATCGTTAGTTTTTGATGTAGTGTTCCATGATTCATTGTTTGCATATAACACCCAGTGCTCCATTCAGTATGTGCCCTCTTTAATACACATCACCAGGCTAATACATCTCCCCACAGCCCTCCCCTCTAGAACCCTCAGTTTGTTTCTCAGAGTCCATAGTCTCTCATGGTTCATCTCCCCCTCCAATTTCCCCTCCCTTCATTTTTCCCTTCCTGCTATCTTCTTCTTCTTCTTTTTTTTTTTTTAACATATAATGTATTATTTGTTTCAGAGGTACAGGTCTGTGATTCAACAGTCTTACACAATTCACAACGCTCACCATAGCACATACCCTCCCTAATGTCTATCACCCAGCCACTTCATCCCTCCCACCCCCACTACTCCAGCAACCCTCAGTTTGTTTCCTGAGATTAAGAATTCCTCATATCACTGAGATCATATGATACTTGATTGATACTGAATGACTTATTTCGCTCAGCATAATACCCTCCAGTTCCATCCACGTCATTGCAAATGGCAAGATTTCATTCCTTTTGAGGGCTGTATAATATTCTATTATATATATATTATATATATATATATATATATATATATACCACTTCTTCTTTATCCATTCGTCTGTCGATGGACATCTTGGCTCTTTCCATAGTTTGGCTATTGTGGACATTGCTGCTATAAACATCGGGGTGCCTTTACCCCTTTGGATCCCTACATTTGTATCTTTGGGGTAAATACCCAGTAGGGCAGTTGCAGGGTCATAGGGTAGCTCTATTTCCAACTTTTTGAGGAACCTCCATACTGTTTTCCAGAGTGGCTGCACCAGCTTGCATTCCCACCAACAGTGTAGGAGGGTTCCCCTTTCTCCACATCCCCACCAACATCTGTCATTTCCTGACTTGTTAATTTTAGCCATCCTGACTTGTGTGAGATGGTATCTCATTGAGGTTTTGATTTGGATTTCCCTGATGCCAAGCGATGTTGAGCACCTTTTCATGTGTCTGTTGGCCATTTGGATGTCTTCTTTGGAAGAATGTCTGTTCATGTCTTCTGCCCATTTCTTGATTGGATCATTTGTTCTTTGGCTGCTGAGTTTGATAAGTTCTTTATAGATTTTGGACACTAGCCCTTTATCAGATATGTCATTTGCAAATATCTTCTCCCATTCTGTTGGTTGTCTTTTGGTTTTGTTGACTGTTTCTCTTGCTGTGCAGATGAAGTCCCAATAGTTCATTTTTGCCCTTGCTTCCCTTGCCTTTGGCAATGTTTCTAGCAAGAAATTGCTGCAGCTGAAGTTGAAGAGGTTGCTGCCTGTGTTCTCCTTTAGGATTTTGATGGACTCTTGTCTCACATTTAGGTCTTTAAACCATTTTAAGTCTATTTTTGTGTGTGGTGTAAGGAAATGGTCCAGTTTCAGAACAATGCAGACCTTATGTGAGACCTTTTTTATTTAGGCATGTGAAAAAAACAAAAGACCTTATTTTATTAGGATAGCTGCCTTCTCAGTGGAAGTAGAAAGTGATTGCTTCCTATCAAGCAGAAATATCAGAAATTGAGATGGAGGTAGAGGACAATGTTAAGGAAGGAAATTTTAGCCCTGTTGTGAGCAGCCTTTTTCTGGTTGACTGCCTGAACACTTGGATACCTAGTGTTCCTTTTCTCTTCCAGTCCTCTGCGTTCTTTCACTTGTGGGGATTGGTTGCCATTTCATCCTCAATACGCAGTGTTTGCCTGGACCACACCTTGCTATGGCCATAACCCTTACCCAGAGTCAGCTTTATTTCATGACATTCAGTCAGACCCCCCAGTGCCTATTCTGTTTGCAGTAATCAGGTCTAGTCCTGAGCATCCCTTTACTTCCCTAAATTGCTGTGAAAAAGCAGTCAATGTAAGACTGAAGTCTGAACTACAAAAAAAAAAAAATCAAAAAACAAAAAAACCCCCTCTACTGTGCCAACACACCATAAGGACTCAAGGAGTGGTTGGGGTGGGCCTACTAAGTAATAACTTGCACATGTCTTGCATTTCATATTATACTACACAGTTTGACAAGAAGCTACGTGTCATCCTCACAGATGCTTGTAAGCAGTACAGGTTGTATTCATCACCCACATTGCACATAGGAGAAAACTGATTAGTGGAGGTAAAAAAGCTTGACTGTGTGAAATCCAAGCCTGGTTTGTTCTCTTTCCACTAAAGTTTTCTTCTGCTCATCACTGTACTCCCCAAGGACACGTTTTAAGAAATAGGAATGCTTACTTAATTAGATAAATTACTGGTTAGCTACAGAGTGGTAAAATAGATCACAGAGTTATAGTTTCATTTCTCCAAAATTATAATCTTACCATGTAATTCTGTGGCTTAACCTTCTTTAGTGAGTATGAATCACTCCCATTCTTTGCACAGTATCTAGGAAGGCCTATGAACTGCTCTGTGGGCTTTCTCTTCATCTTACAACTTAGTACTTTCTAAAGGTGACACCATACTACTAAGACTACCTATAGTTCCCCGGGCCCACCATCTGACCTCCAGTCTTTGGGCTTTTGAGCTTGCTGCTCTCTTCTCCTGAAATACCTTCCCTAACCTGTCTAATGGAGGAACACCTATAATCTTCAGCACCAAGATGAAATATATCTTTCTGGGAGACTGTCTCAGGGATAATGTATATAATAGTTTTGGGCTGGATCTTTGGAGGCAACCAAATATGATTCCCATTACCTCCTAGCTGTTCAAATATGTGTTTGCTATTATTGCTTTGCACCTTTGTTTAGTCATATAGAAAAATGGGATAAAAGTCCCTAATTTATAAGATATATTTAAGAGTACATGAGATAATGCCTAAAAGGGGTTCAACACCAAAATAAAACATCTATTAAACAATCGTTATTGTTTTGGGCTGATATTCCAAGAAGTTGATCAATTTTTTCTTTTAGTTCATCTCATTTCTCAATGATCTGATCGCTTATTTATCACATATTATTAGAATTACTTTACAATTCTGTCTCCATATTTAAATATGAGTTCTTTGAAAACTAGGACTATGTCTTTATTATTTTTATATACCAAGCACCCAGCACTAAATCTGGTGCATAGTAGAATCTCAGTGAATATTTCTTGAATCAATAGACAGATAAAAAGAGAACAAAGCCTGAATTAATTAGATTTTATTTGAATCCTAGTTCTATCACTTACTGGTTTGGCAATTTCCTCAATCTCTCTAAGACTCCTCACTTATAATAATGAACTTACTTAATGGTATTTTATACTTTCCAAGAGATTAGATTCCAAATATGCAAAGTGCTTTGTAAATTGTATTGCTCTGGACAAATAATAATTAATAGTATTTTTATATTTTAATTGATAATCTTTTTTATTTTTCATAATTTTCCTAGAGCTCTAGGATATTTGGTTGAATTTCATAAAACTTTTGCTATAATTTAAAAGTAAAATATAAGAATATGCAATTAAGAAAAGGAAAAAGTCCAGCAACTTTTCTTGGCCCACATAGATTTTGCATGTCACAGAACCTGTCAGAGATGTTGGTTAAATTCTGAAATCCACTAAATGTAGAGGTAGTTGCTTCTCACAAAGGATTCTTTAACACACCTTTAACACACCTGACTAAAAAAAGCTTGTTTCACAAGCTCCCTGTCAAATTTATTTCCAATTATTCTAGTTCTTCCAGGCAGCTATCCAAACTTTTGGAACTTATAAACCAAAGTACTGACCTTGTCTTGGCTTTGATTTTGTGTATATTTGCTGTCTGTTACTACCTATGTTCTGAGTCTTTCCATCATGGGTGAGTCAGAGTCCAGCAAGTTTCTGTTTAGTGCCTAAGACCCATTTGTGAGATTCCATTTATCTGCTGATTGTTGGCTATTTCAGGGACTTGACCAATTCAAGATGTATGCTTGGGACACCTGAGTGGCTCAGTCGGTTAAGTGTCTGACTCTTGATTTTGTCCCTGCTCAGCACAGAGTGTGTTTAAGATTCTCTCCCTCTCCCTCTGCCCTCTCCACCACTTGTGCTCTCTCTACCTAGGGAGGGGGGAGGGAGAGAGAAAGAGAGGGCAAGAGGAAGAGAGAAGAAAGAAAGAAGAAAGAAAGAAAGAAAGAAAGAAAGAAAGAAAGAAAGAAAGAAAGAAAGAAGAAAGAAAGAAAGAAAGAAAGAAAGAAAGAAA